GCTGCATGTAATCATCCCAGAACATGGCTCTCAGCGGCAAATGTGCGGAGTGCCTCCAGCTGATTTGCTTTGTTTATGTATAGGTATAGGCGGTGTCTTGAAAATGTCCCATATTTCTTGACTAGAATGCAAACCAAAGCTGAATGCTGATGGTTCAACACTGAAGTTTTACTATGAAATTTATGCAGCCAAAGCTTTAATTACAGGCTGAATTATGGGTAATTAAATTTGTTGTGAAATCATTATCTTATGCTAATGAGACCCTTCTAGTGGATCATGTGAAAATTGCTGCCTGCACATGGTTTTGGATCAGTAGACGTTTTGCAAGCACTATAACAGTGTGGTTGCTTGTTTACTTGTTAACAAGTAACCACATCGCTTTCCCCATTCCTTTCCTTGTATGATCGTTTCCAGTCATATGGTTATCACACCCAACTACAGTATTAAATACTACATGCTCCAATAATAATGTCATTTATATAATGCCCCATACTGTGCCTTTAATGGGAATTACATAAACTGGGTGAAAAGAAGTGATGTATAAAAATAAAACCAGAATAGACTTACAATTGATCACATTCACAGATTTGATTTATTCTTAACATTCACTGACAACTTTCCAGCACTGTAAGACAACTGCAACTTGATTGAATAATGTAGTAGTGGGGGAGAGTTCACCTGTGTCAGACATAACTAGGTCATATATGATGTGAGGTAAACCGATTATCAGTCCTTTTATAAATCAAATTGACATATAGCAGTGTGTATAATCCAGAGGTCATGAATAATAGTTGTTCCATATTCTTGATCTAAAAATTGACATACCACATACTAAAATTTCTTACATTATTATTTACAACTTACAACAATTCACAAACATTACAGGGAGATAGTTAGTTTTATCATTTTCATATTTTTCTTCTATATAAGTTATTCTTTATATCACAGTGTCAGTACATTAAGCAACTTAATTTCATGTAGCCTTGTTCTCTATCACCCCAAAACCGAGACTCATAAATACCAGGAGGGTGTCCGGTGGGGGATAGTTTTTTCCATTTTCATATTTTTCTATAATTTATTTACTTCTATCGCTTCATGTTGCCTTAATTCTTAATTCTTCAACCTTCAGCTAGTATTTCACTAATTCAGTATCTAAAGATGTTTGTTTTTGTAGGCCTACTATGATATCATTTCTTTGTTTAGTGGAACATTCTTTTCACTGACGAATATAAAATTAGTTAACACTAAAGAAACCATCTTGTAAAGCTCTGCATTAACCGTATCAAATTGTATGGCCATATATGGTCATGATGTGATGTCATCATGACCATATTTAGGCATGTAAAATAAAATTTGATAGTCTGGACAGGGCCTTCAAATTCTCCCTTTGCAGTAGGCCAAAGACAACCTCTCTTGGCGTATTGTAGGGGTCATGTTTTTTCTATACTGTACCAGAAGACAACCCCTTAAAGTCAGGCTCCTGAGGAAAAAAATTGTTTGATATGTTGTAGAAATGATTTTTCTAAGACAGAAAAAAGTTGTTTGACGAAAAGCTGGGGAACGATGAATGAGATACAGATTTTTTAATATTTAAAAACTGGGGGAAAAAGGGGGCGTAACCAGCCATTTTTACACCTTATTCCCCCAGTTTTTAAATATTCAAAAATCTGTATCTCATTCACCATTCCCCAGTTTTTCGTCAAACAACTTTTTACTGTCTTAGAAAAATCAGTTCTACAACATATCAAAAAATTGTTTTCCTCCGGAGCCTGACTTTAATAATAGATGAGCCTACAATATCAGTATGATTCCTAATGGTGACATAATTACACGATGGCATGCATTTCGATAAGTATTATACTTTCTTATCTGAGATTAATCAGTGGACCGTTCAGTATCTGTATGTGTGGCTAAAACTCTTGTCATGTTAGACCCAATGTTCCTTCATGTAGTTCTCATCATCATAATAAATTGCACCTTAGCTTCAACTTCACAAATAGTAATTTTATATAAAGTTATATACGATTTTATAGCACTGCTATGCACTGAGAGGTGAGCAAATATTTTCAAAAAATACTTGTTGACTCCATGGTACATTACACATTGAATCACCTCTTTATTATATACGATTTTATAGCACTGCTATGCACTGAGAGGTAAACAAATATTTTCAAAAAATACTTGTTGACTCCATGGTACATTACACATTGAATCACCTCTTTCTATGGGAGGAATGTTCATGTGTATATAGATTAGGATAGAGGCGACGATGGTGATGTCTTCATTTCAATATTTGACGCTAGCTTGATTTCTGCTCCCTTTTCCAAATGATCACCAGCCCCTGCAAAAAAAAAGAAAAAAAAAATTATATAAGCAACATTAATTTTTTAAAAGGAAATTGCGTGGAAATATAGCTAAGGGAACTTGCACAAAAAAAAAAACATGAAAACACTTGCATATCTTTATAAAGCCCCCTCCTCTTCCCACATACAAAACTAGCATAACTACTGATATAACAGCACACATTGAAAATAATAAGAAACTCTTACATTGCAGTCTGAAGATGCTAGCAGACTTTCGTCGTAGTTAAATGAGACACTAAGCACAGGACCTGAGTGACCCTGCAACTTATTAACACACGGCTTGGTTGACCGCTCAATATCAAAGAAATACACGCACATATCTTCACTACCAGTAACTGATTGGTTAAAAAGATATGACTAAAAATTAGTTATTCATGATTTATTGTCTAAAAATCAAAAAGGCATGTAATGAAGAATATTCATGAACTGAATTTGAATATTTATTAAGATCAAACAATAGGGTGTGGAAAAGGTAGGCCACATATTTGAAGGAAGAGACAACTAGAAATGCTCCTTTTTACGCTGCTGCGCAGTAAAAGAATAGCCTCACCAGACAATTACAACAATTGTTTTTAGCTTATTATTTCACTTTGTAGTAATTCTAGTAGGATTAAATAAACCACAAGATTTTAAAACAAGGAAGTAATTATTAAGGAAAGAAAGTAAGCCAATGGTTAGAATTGTATACATATCTTGAAACCAATCTATTATGAGAGTAGTTCCTTCAGAAAACAACCGATGACCTCATAGTTAAGCAGTCCTACAGCAACTGAAGGGCTTATAATGGACCTCTATGGAGTGTCAATCAAACTGACCAATCAGGATGTGTTATTTAATATCTAAAAATAGGTGCATGTCCCACAAATATACAAAGGTTAAAGATTATTGTTATAAGTTTTTTACATTTTAAAACTTTCTTGGGTTACCCTACGAATTAACGTCTTATCTGTTGTTCTTTATTATTTAGCTGTTGTTTGTTTTTATTCTGTATTTAAGAAATGTTTTGTGATTTTAATTCCTCAATGACATGAAATATATTTTTAATGTACAAAATATTGTACCAGGGTTTTCATATGGTTGCACTGTTGTTTGGTGGTACCTTAGCTTAGCATATTATCAAAGGAGTGGAACTTGGCAGGAAGAACCATTGAATTGAATGTTGGGATCAAATCTTGATACACACACATTTTTTTGATATTTACATAGCACAAATTTAGTTTAACCAGCATAGTTCAATTGAGAAGGGGTGTGCAGGTAACTTGAACCTTAGTGGAGTAATGTCCCTACAACTTGATGCATAAATTTGATAGGGTATACAAGTCACTAGGACCTTAGTGGAGTAACGTCCCTACCCCTTGATTTATAGTTCCTTTAGGGATACAGGACTTGTTGTATTCACATTGATATTTTTTGTACATATACTGTACTGCTATCTGCCAAAAATAACACAGTATATGTACCACAAGTACTCTATACATTAAAGGTATTTGTAATGTTGATCTCACCTACACATGCCCCTTCCCTGAATGACATCAAGGGGCAGAAGCTGCTGCGAACCGCTTCTCGTTTGTGCTTAATGGCAAATGTCTTCTTCAGTTGAAGGTTACCGTCTTTACCCATGACCCTTTGATGAAAAAATGAAAGTGAAACCAACATCATAATAGCATTTTGAACAACTGAAAGGGATAGCTCCCTAATATAATATTAATTAAAGTTGCCTCTCAGAGTCAATTTCCTTTAAATAGCTTTTAGTACTATCGTGGTACCTTCATCAGCTTTGCTATTACATTTATAACTTGACAGAATCAGATGGTAACTGACCCAGCCATCGATACATTTTTTAACCATTCAGGTCCAGCGACCTCCAGTTCTATATATATATATATATATATATATATATATATATGCAAGTCTACATTCTTTGACTTTATCACAGTGAATCACAGAATATTTGTACTGGATGTTTTATTTCAACAAGCATAGAAACATTATTGTAAGCCTAGTATTAACTAGGTGACAGCTCTTTAGTCTTACTTGTACAGACAGACTTGATTGACTGCTACGTTGACCAATAGGGATGGGTCCCTTGCTTCTCGGCTAACCCATGAACGGAATGAGATGCTAGTCACAGGGCTGCCTTCACATATGTTAACACTGGGATGAGAATAAAATTGTAACAAATACATGACATTTCTTAGACAATACTGTTATAGCAAATAATACTATAATAGAATATCTATAGCATTGTTGTGATATTTAACTCTGTATTTAGTGTACGGTCAGTTCTGGGCAAGTCGAGTGGCTGAGCGGAAAGGCAAGGGCGCTTCTAACTACAGCCATAACATTAGCGGTGGTTCCAGCTAACTTTAAAAAACCCATTGCATTTTTCGGAAGAGTAGGGAGTCACCCTGATGTTATGGTTCATTTCTGCCCCTGTCGTTGTGGAATGATGTGAACATGTACCTACAATGAAGCGCCTCTTTAAGGCTGCCAGGTAGTCAAGAAACACGCCCATAAGCAATTCAGCACAATGACGATGCACGTTGTGGGTTATTCTCTTACCTTTACTTTTATCTTCATATTATGTGCTATTTTTTTAGCCTTGGAAAACAATGCCATAATCATGGCACTGTATGTGACAATATAAAAATCAAACTTAAACCTTAACAGATGAATGTTGCAACATAAGAAAAGCATTATTCTACAGAGACTTGCATGTATGTTTCATTTCCTGGTCTAGGAGGATAATTTCCTACTATTAGTGTCTATTACAAGGAAGGCTTTGGAATTAATACTTGCCGTTTACTTTTTGTCAGTTTCCCCGAAGCAGTTTCATAAAGAAATGACGTGATCATACCCTAAATGATTAGAAACAGAAATGATTTTTAACTGGAAAAATAAACAATGTCAATTACAGGAAACTACGTCTCATGTTAGTCCTGAGAAAATAAATTCTGGTTTGAAACATTTCACCCACGGATATGTCAATGCTCTGTCACGATCTAGCTGTTTGTTCTTTAACGCACATTTGAGTGCGCAAGTTGAGGCTGTATCTATAGTTTTTAGGTCTTCATGAGGATCAGCAGGGGCGGATGCAAGATTTAAAAGAGGGGGGTTCAAAATGTTTCTAAAAAGCCCCAAAATGAAAGGGGGAAAATTTTGATTCCTAGACGGCCGGAAATGAGCTTTCCCGACTTCTGATGAGTCTTTTAATGACTTTAAGTTCTTCAAAATTCATGGTTTAACCCCTTTTGAAAAAAGGTCAGGTAATTTTATCTAGTTCTTTAGGACTATCATAGAGGGAAAAAAATCAAAGACAGCCAATATATTATTATATTCCAACAACATTGAGTAGTTAGATATATAATCTTTCTTCCATGGATCGATGAACCGACAGGCCCGAAGTACGCACTTTCGTACATAAATTATTACGACGGTGAACCAAAATCAGTGTGTATAATTTACCATTTAATTGAAAACTAGTTGGGCTAAACCTAGTTTGTCTGATCTTCCAACATAGGTTAGCATGCCTTTTGTAAGCCAGGACCCAGCCGTATTTTGTTACGTTTCTTCACATGGAGGGGGGTTCGTCCGAACCCCTTGAACCCCCTCTGGATCCCCCACTGATCAATTCTACTCTCTCTTGTGTACCTCTCATACAACTCCATTGGATGTGTAACTGCTCTTTCAAGATCTTGCCTGTTGTTCTTAATGTATCTACAGATATTTGGTCATCCCTTTTAAATGATGGTTAAAGCTATTCCCCCTTTCAATTGGCTACTAAAACATTTAAATTTGCTATAAAACCCTTTGAGGACTATATGACGATTTTTTTTTAAAGTATTTTTTGAATTATCTTGTTTTTTGCTCATGTCTTTCCCCTATGCATTCATATTAAACTTATTATCTTTCCCACTACAGCATCGTTGAAGCGCAAGCAAATGCGTCATAGATCAGGGTCAATGAAAGGTCAATGACACATCTACTGCAATACGTCAAACATAATTTCACTATATGTTCAGACTGTGAGATTTATTGGATGCTAACAGCTAATGTTTATTCCGATTGATTTCATTGTCATCCATACATCACAAGTTGTAAAAACATTGAGATGACACATTTAGCACCTTAAAAATATACACATGCAAAATTCATATTTGATTCATTCAGAATGTTGCTGACATGAAAATAAAATGAGTAAAGAAATATTTTTATGTTGATGCTACTTATGCATCCAGAAATAATGAATGGTTATACGGTACATCATACCTTGTCGTCTCCAGCCCACAGTCGCTGGCCTTCTTCATCAAATTCTAGTGAAAGCACTCTGCCTATTGTCTTGCCTAGGCCTCCTTTGAATGGCTTTCCAGTGGAGATGTTGAAGACCTGTACATGACCCTTGTTACTGCCAGTCTGGTTACGAATTAAGAAAGTGTCAACACATTTTTGTTTTCATTTTCCTTGTTGGTTGTTGTTCCATTGGTGTTGTTGAAATGATGGTGCTAATAATGAGATGATATGGTTGAGTGATCAGGTAGTTGTGGTAAGGATAATGATTATGATCCATAAGTAAAACGTTTTATAAATGTACTCAGGAAATACTATACAAAAAAACTAGCTTATATAGTGACAGGTGTAAAACTGATACACTTGTAAGCAGTCACATGCAAGTGACAAAAATGCATCAAGAATGGTACTTAACCCAAAACCACTTCTGCAAAAAGGAAAGCTGAAAATAAAAACGTAATCCCTTATCAAAATAAAGCTAACCAAATATTCAAATAGTCAAGTTACTAAAATGAGATAATGCAAAACTTGATGACAGGAAGATGTTAAGTCAATATACTTGGATTTTCCTTCCTTCTGCCTTGGGAATCATAGCGCCGAGCGAACCCCAAGGGACTATCTATGGAATATTATATATAAGTTAATGAGTGTGAATGTCCTACAAGGTCTGTGAAACTCTCTAACGATAATCTCCTTCATATACGGCTGGATGCCTTGCAAAGGATAAACAAGTCATTGCCAAGGTTATTAGAGAAGGATTTTTTTTACGAGTTGACATCATGATAAAGTTTGTATTTTATCCGACAATGGATGATGAGAATGTCAACATCCTGAGCTCTCTTTTCTGTGATTGGCTGTGATGTAATGTGTAGCTTCATATGTGCCTACTGACACCTTTAATGTTTTTGGAAAATAAACTGAAACTGAAACTTCATCCATAAACCCTATTCTTCAGATACACGACCAAGGTGACCAATTCACATTTTGTGTGCGGGTAACTTTTTAAAACCGGGCTCCGGAAGAAAAAATTTTTTTAATATATTGTACAACTTATTTTTTTACAACACAAAAAGCATATTTAACGATGAGATACAGATTTTTTTTAATATTTAAAAAATGGTGGAAAAAGGTGAAAAAAGGGTGGTTACGCCCCCTTTTCCCCAGTTTTCAAATATTAAAAAATCTGTATTTCGTTAACTGATTTTAAGTTTTCTGTTAAATATGCATTTTGTGTCTTAGAAAAATCAGTTGTACAACATATCAAGAAATTGTTTCCTTCAGATCCTGTCTTTAAAGTCGTATAACAGAGAGATTATATAGATAACATTCTGCTTCCTGAATTTTGCGGATGTCAAGGAATAGGGGTCGCTAGTAACTAGCAACATAACACAACTTCCGCCAAGTGTAGTGTTCTTATTTTCCTCTCCAGACATTATTGATCAATAACAATATTAAGTTGTTGAATTTCACAGCATGTAAGCAATAAACATCAATTGTTCGTCTCTGGGTGTATTGTTTCCTTGTGTGTAGGAGTTGATTATTAGCAGTGATGAGCCAAAACCAGTCTGATATCATAGTAAATAAAACACTAGACGTGAAGTACTTATAAGACTACTAGTAGTTTATTGTCTTTAAAGTACATATTAGCAGTGTAGGTGTTGACTTACCCGGTACTGAAGGACTGTTTTGAAAACTGTGAAATGAGAAAACAAAGTACAATAATATGGAATAGTATGTATGGTCCCACATGAAGAAGAATAAACTTCCACCTTGATTCTACTGATGCAAATCCAGTTATTGTCTATTCCATCACGACAATAACAATTACTATCAACACTACAGTACCCACTGCTTATTTAGACTCAAATTCAATCCTGGCCATCAGACGCATGCTCGGTGGTCTAGAGGTATGATGCCAGGCTAGTGATCTGGAAAACGTGGGTTCGAGTCCCACCCTAATTTTTCGCAATTGTTTTCAAACTTACTCAGTATTCAGTACATTTCCACATCAGGTAGGGCAAAATGACACCTATACATGATTCTCCTGACGCAAATCCAGTTATTGTCTATTCCATCATGACAATAACAATTCCTATCAACACTACAGTACCCGCTGCTAACTTGGACTCGAATTCAACCCTAGCCATCAGGCGCAAGCTCGTTGGTCTAGAGGTATGATGCCAGGCTAGTGATCTGGAGATCGTGGGTTGAGTCCCAGCCAAGAACTTGCGATTTTTTTTTTGCAATTGTTTTCAAATGTACTAAGTATTCAGTACAATACCACGTCAGGTAGGGCAAAATTACACCTAACCAATAAATTACCTGTACCATATAATAAATAGTAGCCCTATTCATGTCAAAATACAGCTAAACAACTTTAAAATTAAATGTTTATATCTTTTATTGTATATTTCACTTATGTAATGAGCAAAAATATTATTTTTAATTCTTTAAAAAAAAAATCATCATCATCATCTGTACAGCTAATCGTCCTTAGACAATGCGCGATCTACCAACGCCGAGCAAGATTTTATTGTATTCAAATTTAGGATTGACCCTTGAACTGAAACTCAAAAGTAGAAAAGGATACAACGATCATGTTGTTGTTAACAGGTTGAAAAGTGCAAGCTAGAAGTTGACCTTTGGCCTGGTCTTGTACAGTACGTATGCAGGCTCCTGAGCTAACGGACCATAGCTTAGCAGTCGTGTCCAACGACGCTGAGAGCAACATGTCATTGGATAGCGACCAACGGAAATCTGACAAAAGATAGTGAATAGATATAAGAACTGTATAAATATATAACGACCATAAAATACTAATAAAGGACCAACTTAGTAACAGGAAACAAGGATAATGCAAAACAGAAAGATATAATCAGTCCTACTCTAAAACCGGTAATAGGTTATAAGTGATACACAATGTAGGACAAAAGGGAGTGTCAAAATTATAGTATGTAATACCTATGGAAATGTTTCATAGATAATAACAGGCAGTTTAAACAGTGCTATTCGACTTAAAAATCAGGAAATACAAAAAAAACATTTTTGTGGACGAGGAAATAACAAATAAAGGGAAAAACAAAAAAAAACCCACATTCGTAGAATAAAAGTATGCTGGTTTATATTTTTGTTTAGATAATTATGTCCATGTTCCCGCCAGTAATAAATATTATATTAGTGTATGCAATATAATAACACCAATAGAATCAAATGTCAGAAGGTAAGAGTACTATTTTTTACTACTGTGCCATTGCAATAATGCTAAGCTCATAATATTAGATTGTCTTTAAGTACTATCACCTTGTACTTCTTGCTATTCTTTCAGAACAATAACATGTTATAGATACGTAGCATATCCATTTCATAAACAATAGAGTGGCCATGAACAAGTACATGTAAAAATAGGGGACCATCATTACAAAACATGCCTGTTTTTGTAACACCTCCCTTCCCTATCAGATAACATATGCAGAGGCTGTTAACCCCTACTACCACCCAGTATATGTTTTTTTGAAATCTCATGAAAATATTGAAAGAAATGGATGGCCCTTATCATTACTTCTTTAGATACTTATTACCAATATTTACTTTTATCAGTCGTGCATGTAATCCAGTTTTGTGCGTGATTAGATTTCTTCGAAAAAAACATAAGAGGCTTGAAGAGGTCAGGAGTGAAGCAAATGAATGGAGCAAATAATTTGGTTTCAAAAATAATACCAGTGATTTTCAGTAACAAAATTATTAAGAGTACTTTTCATTTAGCTTTTATTATTAGGTATGATATACTAACAAATTGTCACTCACATCACAAATGAACACAATCTACTTTGATTGTGTTAGTTTGTGAAAACAAACTAACACATATAATTGCTTGACAACCAATGCGCGCTTATTTTGATGCGCTTTTTTATTTTCAAGAAATAACACAATCTGCTTTGATTGTGTTAGTTTGTGATGTGAATGATGAAATATCTGCATCATACCCATGTCCCGCTCATTTTATCTAGTAGACATAGAAGAAAATTTATAAGCAATACCTTTCACCCCTTGCGTATGACCTTTAAAAACACAGACAACAGTTGCGGGTTCGGGAAGAACTTGACAAACAGAAATGTTACCATCCAATGAGCAGCAGGCGATTCGAGACTTGTCATCATTTGCGAATCTAACACATGTTACTAAAATAAAGAAATATTTAGTTTGTGTTAGCGGCTGATCAGTGTAAAATATTGTATAACGCATCTTCTCTTCTAAAGCTCTGTCCAGACTATCAAACTTTCTTTGACAAAAAACTGTTGTATGCCCATATATAGACATGATGTGCCTATATATGGTCATGATGTGATGTCATCATGACCATATATAGTCATGATGTGCCTATATATTGTCATGATGTGATGTCATCATGACCATATTTAGGCATTTAATGTTTTTGTCAAACATAATTTGATAGTCTCGACAGGGCTAAGTCTTTTTTTAAAAATGGTTGGTATTATATTTGCACGATAATAGGCAGTACACCTAGAGACAATATTTCCCTGTTTTATAAATAGAGTAGCGTATGTGTTCTGTAACAAGGACATAGGCCAGTTTATACACAGGACCAATGGGTTAGCTTCTCTCCAAAAATGGTGCATTTTAATTTATATATTTCATGGGGTGAGCTTGATAAAATATGGTTGAAGCGATATATAGACCTTCACGGTTCAATGCACTCACAGTGTTAAGCACTACTTTTAAATGACTGCTTTATGTTGTGATAATAAAATAAAATAATGTGGAAAATTGCAATAAATTCTAAAGACTTATTACCACGATAAACTTTAACCCTTATTCAGCAACAAAATGTACCTTAATTACCATATTAATGAATACTTAATGAAGAAAGATATTACATGATACCTACCTGCACCTTTGTGTTGATCAAAGATGTGATGCATGCCAGCAAATGCATAGTTCTCAGCTGTTGATGTGTCCCCTGCCATAGCTCTGAAATGAGGGTAGGAGAAGTGGAGGATATAGAATGAATTAGATTAGATTAGAAACCTTTATTTTTCCAGGATAGCCAACAAATGTGGGGACAGTGTTCTTCCTTGGGATCCAAATAACAAAAACTTACATTTCATACAAAACAAAATTAAATGAAAATAAAAATTACAATGAAGAATAATTACAAGAAGCAAATTTAAATTATGGTAGATCTTTGAAAGATTTTAAAGTAAGTGAACCTATAGCGCAGAATATAACAGAACACATTCTAAACAATTATTGTAATGAGTTTGTTTCTTCCTATTCATTGATCCTGTACACAGTACTCCCAAACTTTTTCCATACTAACACAGTACTCCCAAACTTTTTCCATACTATCATGTTTTATTTGACACATTTGCCCATATATGGTTATATGACATCTTTATGTCCATATATGGGAAAAAAAAGTATCGTCACTTAATATTTTGTAGAGTCAACAGAGCTTTGTTCAAAAGTTTCACATGTTTACATAGGATATTTTTTTTTGAGCCATGACTTATCTCGGGCATGGACAAATATTATTCAAACCAGTGATATTTTGATTCTTTTGTGACCTTCTTTTTTTTAGGTCATCTAAAATCTGTAAACAATAAATCCAAGGCGCATTGGATACTCATTCATATTGTATTGCCTGCGGCCTTCTCAGTTTAATTTGAATAATGAAAGAACAAGGGAAAGGTTTTTAATACCCTTAATAATTAGTTTATGAAAATGAATATTGTATTATTAATGAATTATTCTTGTCACAGTTCAGTAGATTTGTCCACACTGTCAGATTTTCTGACAAAAAAAAAAATGTTGTATGCCTATATTTAGTCATGATGTGCCTATATATGGTCATGATGTGATGTCATCATGACCATATTTAATAGGCAATGTCATATGCTTATGTCAAATGAAATTTGATAGTCTGGGCAGGGTTTAAAGTTTTGTCAAGATTATCAAATTTTCTTTGACATAAAAAGGTTGTGTGCCCATATATAGTCATGATGTGCCCATATATAGTCACGATGTGCCTATATATGGTCATGATGTGATGTCATCATGACCATATTTAGGCATGTCACATATTTTTGTCAAATAAAATTTGATAGTTTGGACCAGGGCTTTAGAATATTTGTCATCATCATCGATGTTGTTGCCACTAGTGCCTGCATCATCATCATCATCATTATCCTCACCATATAATCACTATCATAATCATCATCCTTATGAACTAACCTGCTTGCTTCTGCATTCCTTGTAGGGATCAGTCCAACACTCTCTACAGCTCCTGGGTTGATGTTTTCTGCTTTGTATGAGCCCCTACTAGCCTGTCGCTTGTGGGTGCGGTACACCCCATCCCCTCCTAGGTCATCTAAGCTCTGTAAAAATACATATCAATGCTACCTGTGGTCTGTCTCTTATACACATCTAGATGTGTATAAGAGACAGGAGCAGCTTAGCTCAGTTGGCTAATCTGGTGGTAGCCATTGTGTGTGCGCTGAACCGTGGAGATCTCTAGATCCCCGGTTCAATTCCCATCGCTGCCTCTCCTTGTGTTTCAGCTGGAGGGCTGAAATACAAGTTACAATAGCACACCATCTTTCGGATGAGATGTTGAAGCCGTTGGTCCCGTGTGCATTTATGGCCCATGTGCACGTTAAAGAACACAGTACACTCTTCGGAAAAGAGTAGGGGATTGTCTCCCGGTGTACTGTCCAATCACCACCAGAAGGACCCCACTGGAAATAAGTCTTCTTCTAGACTTTCGTGGGCTATCCTTGGTGTTTACACCAAATAAATCCAATCCAATCCAATGCCACCATGGTTTGGGGCTGAGGAAAGAATTTTGATGATATTGCAGTGGCACCACTAGATGTCCGATAATGGCACTCTCAGACTTAAATATGAATGTAATTTTTTCCCCCCCATTTTTAGAACTAATATTCAAAAAATTTAGGAAAGAGGGAGGGGGGTGGGGGGAAAGGGGTCTGCCCGCTGGCTCTCCGATTGAATCCGCCACTAGCAAGTTCAATTAGGATTTCATATTGGTTAGATTCACTTACTTTTCCCTTCGCAAGTATTTGGGAACATACTGAGTATGATAACACATCAGGTGGGCCAAATCATCACTCCTAGTTAAGGGGGTTATTAACTATTTAAAGTTTTAAAATTACAGTTTATTAGGAGTTGTGCTTGTTTTTTTTGTCATTTTGGTTTATTTCTTACTTTTCCAAATTTGTTATTCATTTGATGGATTAATTTAACTTACCCCTCTACTGCCGAGGACACTAGCACTTCTACTCCACAAGCTGCCACTGAAATATATCATTGATAAATATTATATATACATAAATAAAAGGGTTTTAACATTTTGTTTACAGATATCAATGAGCAGTCCTGTCCTATAAATAAAAATTTTGCCTCATTTACAACCTTGTGGAAGTTAAGGTTCTAACTCAGACTTACAGTACTTGTAGTGTATTGTCAGCCTACATCTTATATTAGTTAATATCAATTTTATCTATAGCATCTAAAGCATTTCGCAGTATAAGGACTTTCAATCTCTACTATGTATTCTCACATTTTCATGGTTACAGAGAGGATGGGGGGGGGAAGGGGAGGGGGAGACAGGGTTAGGGTTCCCAATTTTGACTAACAAAATCCATGTTTTTTCCCATTGCCATCAGTTTTCCTTCCTGTTAGATATTTATGTTTTGCTATTACTGGTTTAAGGTTTCTGTATTTTTATGACTTTTAAATTGTGAATTATGATTTTTTAGGACAAACGTAAAATTCTTGTGATTTTTGCTCTGAATATTTTAAGATTTATACACTAGATAAATCAATCAATCAATCAATCAATCAACACACCAACCAACATTTAATCAATCCATCGACCAATCATTAAATCAGCCAAATCAACAACATGCCTATCGGCCCCTCTAGTTCCTCCACACGTCTCTATCCTACTTGTCTCAGATCCTGGAACCATCTCATACATATCATCATTGTGAAAGAATTTTAAATGGAAACAGAAAGCTATCAATCACGAAGACATCAGTTTCCAAAAAAGTGTCTAAATATATATTAAAATGAAAGATAACTATGCTACCTGTGGTCAGACAAGGATATGGTAGCGCCATAGCGGTCTGCCAATAGTTGTGTCCTGTTTTTGAGGTATTGCTTGCGGACTTGTGGATCATGCTGAGAAAAAAAGAATTGGATGCATAAAAATACTTACTGGATAAGAATAGAGTAGTACACATGTTTGCAGTTTTAAAGTGAGTCAACTTTCAAATAGATATCAATAGCCAGTTTTTATCAGAAAACATGATTTTTTTATTGTGAATGTGTGTCAAAAATTAAATTTTTTGATATGCTCGAAAATCATTATGATATACATTACTGTTCTCCACATAGGCCTTACAATAGTTTACCTTTGAAATCTAAGTTTATAATAAGGTAAGAAGAGCCCATTTTAAACATGAAAAAAAGAAAAATTTTAACTAGATTTAAACCCAGCACTCTGGTATTAAAAGGCAAGTACCTTAACCATCAAGCAATCTACTACATTATGGCCGCAATACTTATTAAGTTGATGATAAACAAAATCTTAAAAATAAACGTACATTTGAATTTGTTAAATAGCTTGTAATAAGTGTATTTGCATTCTTTTCAGAATGCTTGCATCTGTGATTATTAAACTTGTGCCACTTCCCACCATCGTCCTCTTCTTAGTAATCACAATGGATTCAATGTTTGATGTTACATTTATTTTAAGAATCTATGGACTGATCCAGGGACCAAATTATCTATAAAGTATAAGAATTCAATGTTTTCTTTTGATAGCAGTTATGAACATTAGGTCAATAACCACAGCATCTGCAAAGCTTTTTATTTATTATTTACTCTCACTCATAAATATTCATAAATTCAGTTCAATGGATATTTTAATTCGTTTGAGTCCCGTTATCCTGCTGATTGAATGAATTGTTTTGTTATAATTCATTTACCTCTTTTTTTGCATGTTCTCTTAAAAGTTGACTCCGTCTACGAATGTACAGGGTTCCTAAAAAAACAAATCAAGACGAATTGTGATACATATTGTATGGTAAAAAGGAAATCCTAATTTCTGATTGGATGATGGATTAGATTAAGACAATCACAATAATAATTTTTTTTAAACTAGTGTAACAATAGCCATTGCCTATTAAATATAATAAAATAGGACCTAGTAGGGAGGCCTATCTAAGCCAATCAGGGTTATCACAACCCTGCCTGGCTGGGCCATGCCGCCGGTGGGTACTTGTGGTGGGTGGATAGCTCTAGGGCTAGGCCCCTGCCTACTACTACTACTACTACTACTAGTACTACACTATATTAGGGCTAGCCTAGGCTGCTAGGTAGAAGAAAGCAAGGCTAAGCCCTAGGCCTAAGTAAGGGAAGCGGAAGGCTAGGTATGAAATGATAGGCTAATTAACTTTACAGTGGGTAAGAGAACATGAACAAAGTACACTAACTGGGTAAGAGAACATGAACAAAGTACACTAACTGAATTGAGGATTATTTGGAGTTCTGTACGCATTATATCTAGCATCAACTGCTAAAACCTGCTGCCAAACAGCAGCCATTTTTCGGAGATCACAAATCCACTTTTTGCTTTTTGTTGTTGTTCAACGTTTGCGTACATCCGTCGTGTGCTCTTCACCTAGGAAAAATTAAATTTTGAGAAAAAACAATATTTGATTTTAAATAAAGGATTATAATTGCTGAACTATTAAAATATCAATATAGATGATATTAAAATTTTGTTTGTGTAATTACTGCAATAAACTATGATACAAAATAGGTTGAAATATAAATATTATTAAAATATTGATAAGGTAATTGATAAGGTCAGCCAGCAAGTGAGTCACTTCTGCCCACAACAAACTAAGCTTTGTGCAGGAGGCTGTGAAAGAATTTCTTTAAAAAGATTCATCTTTATTGAAATTGTTCAGATTTTGTTAAAAATAAGAGTTTTTCCCATGAAAGATACACACTTATTCGATATGACTGAACAAGAAACACAAGATTTTACAGAATACAAGACTGTTAATCCAACGATTACCCAGACCGGTGGAAGCAACGATGCCGCTTCTGGTAAGTACGGTTCTTAACGGTTGAGAGATTTAGGCGAACAGGATAGGCGATGCCCTTCAGTGGATACAGACAGGAAGTGATCTCTATGTATTGAATCTATTTTCATGTTTTTCTTTGTTCACTTCCGTTTCAATTTGGTTTATTATTTACTTACTTGTTGAAAATTAATAAACTGAAATACATTTTGTGTTTACCTAATGATTTCCTTGTTTTTTACTGAAATGTGTCGATGGAGTTCGTGTTGATAGCTGTCCTGTACTTTTTTTTGGTAATGCAGTATATTTAGGCAGTTAACATACCAGTAATGGCACTGCACTGCATCCATCTCTATAACCGTAAAAGTAATAAATAGAGTGACCTGTTCAAAGACATATGGTGGTAGACAATTCTTGCAGTAACCAACCCCTTCTGCTTTTTAAGCTGACAGATTGTACTGTAGGTGGTTGTAGGTGGCCTGCAGTATGGTATATTTCTAGTGGGTTGGATCACTGAGACCAGATTCATCATTTTATCTCATCATCATAGTAAGCCTTAGCCTGTGTTTTGGGTAGAGAAAGAGAGATATGAAGTGACTGGAAACTCAAAGTGACTACACCTATCCCCAATATTGCACTGGTACTCCTACTTACTAACCATTTGTTTCTGTGTGATTATTAATATATGATATACATTATCCATGTCATTTAAATAAATTATGATGTCACTATAATAATAGTAGGCAGTATCCATGTAATTTTAACATAGTTTCTTTCATTTCCTTATTGCAATGTATTATAGACTGAAGTAAATAATTACAACTCAACTGTTATACAGTACCGCCAGCATCTTTAACATTCATAATCAAACAGTACTAGTGGTCTGTTCCTTGAAACATTCACTTTAAGAGGAATTAAAAAAATATTCTTATTCGTATTGTTGGGATTCATCATCATAGACTAGAGTACTTCCTGTTTTCTCTTTAAATTTATTGTTTGAAGTCATATCATGTACAGATATGTATCCCTGAATTGACAGATGGATAACAATTGAATATTGCAGATAACTTCCTTGTTTAAAAAAAACAATTTTATATACAATTCTAAGAAAAACTTGTCAATTATTAAATAACTAACTATTTTGACAACATATACTGTAGTGTACAGTGTACGGTGTTACAAACTATAAAATAGATATTAATTATTTTGGTAGTGGGGATGATTTGATTTCTTAAAAAAAAATAATCGTTCTTAGAAATCATTTCAACCAGTAGAAACATACCCTTTATATGAACGGTTTTGAACTATACGTTGAGCTTATTCTGCAGTACATTACAAACAATACAGGTCTTTATGGTCATGTGCCTTTCTCTAGACATACTATACATAGTAAGATTAGTTTCAGATTATCAAATAGAATGACAAAGATGTGTATAAGAGAGAAGAGTTGTCATTCTATCTAGGGCAGGGTTGGTTATTGGAAAAGTTATTTAGTGTATTACTTTTGGTTTTTGGAAATGTTAAATATTGACAATTACAGTACTGTATACTTGGTAATCGTAGCAGTTGCAGATCCACATCTTTAAAATAGAAGAGGCCCAAGGAGGTGCTTTTGTAGATGATGAGTCTATACCACCTCAACCCCATCATGTTTGGGGCTGAGGTAAGAACAATTTATGATTACGGCAACTCTAGATGGCTGGAAATGGTTCTCCTAAACCTATTAACTTGATTGTAATTTTCCTTTTTTTTTCCATTTTAAAAAATAATTTTAAAAACTGGGAGGGGGAGGGGTGGGCGAACCTGGGCCAGTTTGACTCCCCCCTTGAATATGCCAATGTAGGTAATGCCATTGCAATACTTGTAATGTGCAACATTATTGAATACTCACCAGAGAGCTTAGGTAATGTCATTATTTCAGGTAAGGCTGAGGTAATGCACACATACAGTAGAGGCCTTGGGAATGTCATTACTGTATATAGAGCAGATATTATTATTATTTTGCATGTTATTATTCCAGGTAACTGCACTCTATAAACACTGTACTTTGCTGATATTTAATTCATGCCCAATATAAACAATACGTTCCTGTTAGTACTGTAAATGGCTATTTCCTTTTATTGTTTAGGTTCAGAGTCCACAGTTCCATAAGGATGGTTAGATACTGAAAATATGATTTATAATTTTTTTTTGTAATCAAATTACCAAGATAGAGGTCTAAAAACTCTGACAAGAGAAATGGGTTTTGGCCTGCATTTAATGCACATAATCTATTACATGCGAAAAAGGGCGGTTCTTCAACACGATAAAAGTATGTTTCTTTTTTTAACAAGCACTTTTCTATTGCCACTGGAAGTTGTTTTTTAAAAAAAATAATCGTTCTTAGAAATCATTTCAACCAGTAGAAACATACCCTATATATGAACGGTTTTGAACTAGACGTTGAGCTTATTCTGCAGTACACTACAAACAATACAGGTCTTTATGGTCATGTGCCTTTCTCTAGACATACTTTACATAGTAAGATTAGTTTCAGATTATCAAATAGAATGACAATGGTGTGATTATCTTGAGATTTATTGCACTTTCATGTTTTTTTTTGTAATTGTTGCTTGTAACTCAATAATAGCCTATAGATGGTTATTGTAGTACAGATTTGAAATGAATTAGATTTTTTTCAATGCTTTTTTTCATGATAATAGGGGCATTGGCCAAGTAATTCAGTATGCTTACAATAAATCTTTCGTTTAATAATTAAATATAAATGAATAATTTCTCTTAATCCTGGACTTTTAATACTGTAGAGAATAAGACAAGTTTATAGTAATACAATAACTGAATACTATACCGTGAACAATTGCTATTGTACATTTCTTTTGAGGCTATTAACAAAATACACAAGAATCTGCCAAAATCACTTAAAGTAGCTGTAATTATTGAAGCAAATTAAAACCAATAAAATGGAATATACCTTATGCGGTTTTACATTAAATTTAGGTGGTAAGCTCTATTGTAGGAAGGCTTAAAAACAGTCACCAAAATTAGTTGGGATGGCAAGTGCAGTACTGTACCGGTATGCGTACTATGTTCTCCCAATTGAAAAATTTTTACTATTAAATTCGTCCATAGAGCCAGCTAAGCACACGCAACAGGAGGTATTGTCACTTTTAAGGGGAGTTCAGTGGCTTCTTCAAAAAAACAATAATACATAATCATTGCCTAGGCCAGGACTGGAATGAATTGGTTTATTGAAAGAAGGTCAGCCTAGGCTACCTAGGCCTGCTTTTTTTACACCATTTTGCTGGTTGGTCAGTTATTTTTATTGGTAAAATTGACGGCTAAAACAGCTTCAGGAAAACACTGACATACAGCAGTATACTGTGCTACAATTATGGGTGGCAATTTGTAATATTTGACTTATAATTGGCATCTAATGCCTGGTACCAACAGTTGCTCACTTGTAGCCTCAATGGAATCCCTTTACTTGACCTAATTTCAATGACATGGTATACTGGAATGTTGGAATAATAATAATAATAATAATAATAATAATAATAATAATAATAATAATAATGGTGATGATAGTGATGATAGTGATAATGATAACAATTGTAATAATGATAAAAATAATAATAGTGGTTATATTAAAAAATAATAAAATAATAATTATTATGTGAATTTTCCTCGAGTAGTTTAAAAAAAAAAAAATGTGTAACCTTTTTGTTCTCTTCTAACATTTTTCATTATCTTTGAATATTGTAGGCCTTCTATAATTTTACATTTTTCTATGCTTTTTGATGGAATTTTGATGTTGATTCCTTTTTTCCTTGACCAATTTTAATGTGATTTTCTTGGAATTGTTTTTTCGTTGTTGTGAGCATTGACTCATATTTTCCACTTAAAGGGTAATATTTACCACAGACTGTGCCAATTGTGGCAATTTTTTGTATTGGGTACCAAGTTCTAGTTTCTTCAATTACATTTTTTGCCTGCTAAACATATGACCACTAGCATACGGTCAGCACCTGTCCTTTGTTTTGGTATCACATGGAGTTCTGCTCTAATTCTTGTTCACATTTCTGCTTACATTTTGTTTGCATCCTGTAACTTCAATATAATAAGACCAAATAAAAAAAAAAATTACTAGTTTCTTGTCCTCTGGCTCCATAATCCATTTTCCCTGACTCACCAAATTTTATTTATTTAAAGAAAAAAATAATTTTTTTACGAAATGTATGAAAATCGTGCTTAAACTCCCATCAGTAAAATTCCTCTCGCGATCGTTTGTAATTGGGGATATAGTATATGGACCGTATGAATTATGTCTAGTGCTTCTTTTATTTGCTTTCAATGTGTCTGCTTGGTAAAAGTGAGAAAGTACAGTAGGAACATTTTTCCATTGACCATTTTAGATTTGCCATCTCGGAGTAAAAAATAATGTGCCTCATTCTCATTTTTTCTAAATATTAGAACGAGAAACTACTTACTTATTTTTACTTGGCCAATGAACTACAAGTACTGTAGGCTACAACAGTAGTGTTCATTTTGAATATGTCTGTGCGACGTAGTGTAGATAAGCCTACCGTATATC